GCTCCCCTGCTCTCTTCTTGTGAGCCTGGGGTAGAGTGGCACTGGCCAGGACATAGTGTGACTCCAATTCTCAACCCTCTTGAGCTGGCTAAGCAGGTCATCTCTGACACCCAGCCCTCTCTCTCCTCCCAAGAAAGCCCAAGTACCAGGGCCTGGCAGGGGCCACTCGGGCAGCATCCGCAGGGCTTTTGCTTCTGAGACCTCTTTGGTTGAGCGGGGAAGACCGTCAGCCATTCCTAAGTTGGGTGTCCCTTTCTTGTAGGAGGGGGGCTGTGACTGGGCTCGGCTGCGGTGATCCTTTGCTTCAGTGATGGAAACGAGGCAGGGCTGCTTTGAGACCCAGCCTCTCAGCAGGGACCTGCTGCTTCTTTGGGCAGAGAGATGAGCCCTGGGAACCAGGCTTGGCTGGACTGCGGAGTGTGTGGTCAGAGCTGCATTTTATGGAAACAGCTGTGGCTCATGACTCGCTTTCTGAGCTGAGAGATTTACAGGGCTGCACCGTTTTAATGGTTTCTGTGGGGTTTGTGTCCTCCCCCGCTCATCCTGGCCACTGTGTTGGGGCAGATGGGTGACAAGCCTTCCCCAAGCTGGACCCGCCCAACAGGCTGCGCCAGGGAGCAAGGGTCGACCACCCAAGCCTCCTGGTGAGGGGCGGCTACTAGGAGGCCCCTGGGGACCCACCTGGACAGCCAATAAATCTAGAAGACGTCCAGGCAGCAGGAAGCCTCCCTGCAGAGGCCTTGTCAGGGGAAACTCTTCCCCAGGGTCCCTCCAGCAGGTGGCTGAGCCCGTGCTGGGCCTTTTTCCTCTAAGGATCGGTTCCAGCAGGTGGTGGCTGAGCAGCATCTTTCTCATATGGACAGCGTTTCCTAGGCCCAGGTCGGGTGCTTTGATCTTAGCCAGACTTCCCCTAAACCTCAGGAGTGTGGGTCAGTTCCAGGTTTGGTAGGCCTAGAGCTGGTAAAGGAGGAAATCAGGTTTTTGAGCAAGCTAGGGCAGAGGACGGGGCTGCCATGGGTGTAGCAGCAAGACCCCTCCAACGGAGGAGTTCAAGTACAGGATGTGACCTGGAGCTCCCCGCTTGGGAAGCTGACTTTGATGTCCTGGAATTTCCCCAGTGCTGGGACTCCAGGGAGGTTGAGGCACCCTCTGCTCCTGTAGGAGGACATGTCCATGCCTCGCACTGCAGGCAGCAGGATAAATTCTGCCCTCTTTGATCAAGAGGGAAGTGGCTCAAGGCACCTGCCCTGGGCCTATTTCCTAGCTACCCCCTCCTCCTTGGGCCTTGGAGCCACAGCAGGGTGTCTGGTCAGGAACGAATTTAAGCTCACCAGCTGCTGCTAGGGCTGAGCCCGGACTTACTTGAAGGGGAGGTTAGATCTGCAGCCCTGAGATAGAGCCATTTCTTGTTTATAGTGGGGCGAAAAGAACCAGCCAGCCTCGGGGACTCTTCTGTCTCCACTTCAGAGAACAACAACTGCCTTATGGCTCCCCCCCCCCCCCACACTTAGCCAGCGGGCACTGAGGAGCAYGTCTCCCATCTTCCCGGGCTCATTTCATGGTCTGACTTTCTGAGGTTCATCATCTCCACCCTTTCTGATCAGAGGTGCTAGTCTTGTTGAGGACAACTTTTAGGACAGTGAAAGGAGGGTAGGTGGCCTGGGGTGTTTCACTGTGGGTGTCTTAGTCCATCCGGACTACCGTAACAAAATTAATTAGACTGGGTCATTATAAACCATAGAAGCTTCATGCTCAGTTCTGAGGCTGGGAGGTGCCCACAGTCTCATTATCTGGTGAGGCTTGTTCTCTTCTTCAAAGATGTCACCTCATTGGCCTCACGTGAGAGGAGGGGCAGGGATATCACTTGATCTTTTATAAGAGTATTAATCCTGTTCATGAGGGTGGAGCCTTAGAAGTTAGTCACTTCCCAGTGACCCCACCTTTTAATACTCTCAAGTTGGGTATTAGGTTCCAACATAGGAATTTGGGAGGGACCCGGACATGAAGACCAGAGGAGGGTGTAAGAGGCCTGTCCTTGGGGGCTACGGGCCTGGGATGGGCAGAGCTGCCTAAAGCTCACCGTGCCCAGTCCCCTGGATGGGTGATATCATAGGCACGTCCGGGTTGGTGGGGACCCCAGGCTCATGTAGCTCAGTGACCGTGGTCATTCCCTGCTCTGAGCCGGCAGCCCTGGTGGTATGCTGTGTGGCTGTAGGAGCGCACGTGGAGCAGGTCTGTTTGAGGTCACCCTTGCAATGTGTATTTTGAATATTTTCAGCTGTGGCGCACGGTGGGGACTTGGCCCGTGCACTGCGTGTGCAGCTCATACTTGGTGGGCTGTGTAATGTGCAGAGGTGTTGCCAAGGGCAGCAGAAATGTGGATTTTTTCCAGCAAAATCACATGAATCCTACCACCACCCGCCCCCGGGCCTGGGCCGTCTCACCCTACAGTCGGGGCAGCTCCCACCCAGGGAGTAGCAGGGATCTGCTAGGTGTAGGAGGCAGCCAGAGGCTTTGTCCCAACTGACCAGCATCCATTGCTTTGTCTGGGTTCTTGAGGATAGTGAGGTGCCCTCCGTGTTAAACGTGTGGCTAAGGCTGGGGAGAGGAGAGGTTGTCAGCCCTTCTACTGTGAAGGGCCGCATGCTTGCAGATCTTCCAGGGATTAGAAGGCCACCCTGGGGTCCCAGTCCAAGGCTAGACCTTGTCCAGGCGCCTCATCCTCAGCAAACTTGAGAGACCCTAGCAGCCTGCCCTGGGCTGAGGCCCAAGACCCAGAGTCCTCAATTCATTGTATTGGTTTCCCAGCTTGTCAGAGCACGGTGTCACAACTGACTGAGTGGCTTAAACAACAAAGAGTTATTTTCTCAAGATTCTGGAGGCCATGGATCTGAAATCAAGGCGTCGGCAGAGCTGTTTTCTCCCGAGGTCTTGCTCCTGGGTTTGCAGATGGCCACCTTCGCCTTGTATCCTCATGGGGTCATCCCTGGGTCTGGGCCCTGATCCCTACAAGAATACCAGTCCAATTGGATTAGGGCCCACCCTCCTGACCTCATCTTAATTAGCTTTGTAAGGACCTTGTCTCTAAAATAAGGAGTCAGGGCTTCAATATAGGAACTGGTGGCGTGTATAATCCCTCCCCTATCACCGGTGGATGATTGGGCCTGGGATCAGAGCTGCCTGTATAGCATCCTGGTTGAGCCGGCCCAGCCGATGCCTGGTGGGAGGACACTGGCTGGGCCAGAGGTCTGAGGTACCACGCAGGGAAACAGCCCTATCCCTAGGGAGGCTCATTCTGTATTCAACTCAGTCCTGGAGAGAGGAAACCGAGGCTCTTAGGGACTTCGGGGGTGGCTCCCCCATTGCTTAGCTGAGGGGCACTCAGTTGCCACGGTGACCTTCGTCTGCACAGTCAAATCCACACAGCCCAGCCACTTCTCGGGGCTGGAGGGCTCCCCCAACCCCCACAGTTCACACTGAGTGTTGAGAACCTTGGTGACAAAAACATGGAAACGGTTGCCATGGCAGCTATTCTTTGGAGCCCTCAGACTGGAGTGCAAAGTTCAGGATGCCCAGGAACAACTGAAACGAAAATATGGGAAAACCCGCCACTTCCCTTCTTCCAGGAGGATCAAGCTGGACAGCATTTGGTGCTTTCCTGCGCTCAGCCAGCCTCGCCCCTCCCTATTACACTGGGCCCAGTGTGGGCACAGGAGAGGAGTTGGGAGGTCCCCTGGGGGTGACGGTGGTTGAGAGGTGTCGGGCAGACCTTTGGGTGGGTGCCCTGCTTGCAGCTGTTACATGGGAAGGGGGGGACTACGGGGGGGGGGGGGAACATGCCTTCATGGTAGCTGAAGTCAGAGACTGCCTGGGTGTTACTTTCTTCAAATTGTTGCCCTGGCCCAGGAGACAAACTTCCCTGCTCAGTGGGATGAAGAAGAGTACAGAGCRCAGCGGGTGGGCTCAGCAAGGGAAAGCGGGGATGAGGAAGGTGGCCAAACAAGTTGCCCCTGGAGGGAGGTGAGTACCGCTGAGAGCTGCTCCCCATACCAGGAAGCATGACCCACAGGGCTCCTCAGTCAGGGTGGTTAGGAAACCATCCCACCCATGTTTGGTAGAAAGGAAACCCAGGACTTGCTTTAACCTGGTGCTTCACAAAGCTGCTTACTCCTCCCTCCCCATTCTTTAAAAGCACTTCCTCCTATTTTTAAATGAGCCCTTACTGTCCTGCAGGAGTAACATCTGTAAGCCCACACTAGGGCACTGATCCTTCATGTCTAGGGGGATCAGTGCCCCCGGGGACTAGGTGGGAAATGGATTTTCTGGGTCCCACCTACCTCTGATCAATCAGAAGCTGGGGTAGCACTGAGGGAATTCTGATGCACACCCCCACTTAACTCCTGCATCAGGTAACTGGAAGGAAGAGGAATGGCAGAACAGTACCAGGACTCAGGATTCTAGAAAAGGCATAATCCAAAACCAGGTTATCCTCTTTGATACCTAGGTATTGGTGCCCCATGACGTTCTGCTTAGTCTAGATAGAAATCAAAGCTATGTGTCCCAGGGGGTCATGAGGCTTGATGTTAAGTGATTGTGGCCTTTGGAGATACAGAGCTGAGGAATGGCCTGCACTGTCACTGAGGGCACCTGCTCTGGGCAGATGGACCTTGTACAGAGTGCTGGGGGCATGGTCAGTTCTTGTAGGCTTCACCTGGCCTTGATAGATATACTAGACCAATGGCYAAGAGGGGACCTGTCCCCATAGGCAGTTGGAGGTAAAGCTTGGACCAGTGGCCTTGGCCAGGATCCATTTTGCTTTTACCTGCCCATTGTCTCCTGGAGTATCCTCTACAATCACTTCCCAGCTCCGGGTCTCCCTTTCCTTTTCTCCAGGCTCTTGGAGAGGGAGGAGCAGGTAGGACGCACCTGGTCCCAGAAGCTGGGAACCCTGGCTGCACTTCCTGCTCCTAGCCCACTGGCCTGCATATGCTTTCTTGCAGCTGTCCAGATCCACATTCTGAAGGCAGACAAGGCAGGGGACTGGTGGAAGTTCACGGTGAACATCATCTCCGTGTACAAGCAAGGCACCAGCCGCATCCGCCGTGGTGACCAGAGCCTGTGGATCCGCTCGCGTGACATCGCCTGCAAGTGCCCCAAAATCAAGCCCCTCAAGAAGTACCTACTGCTGGGCAACGCMGAGGACTCACCCGATCAGAGTGGCATCGTTGCTGACAAGAGTAGCCTGGTGATCCAGTGGCGGGACACGTGGGCGCGGCGGCTGCGCAAGTTCCAGCAGCGTGAAAAGAAGGGCAAGTGCAAGAAGGCCTAACGCACATGCAGCAGCGCGCTGGGCTCGGGACTGCGGGCCCGGCTGGGCATGAGCTGAGCACATGCAGCTGATGGCTGCCATGGTGGACTTGGCCCATGAGGGCTTTCCTGGGAGGGGGGAGGGTGGGGGCGGGGCTACAGCGGGGGCAGGGCCCTCAGTGGCCCCTCCCCCAGCCCCACTCTGTGCACCCCTAGCGGGAGCCAAGTGCATGCACACTCAGGGCAGGGTGCGCAGCAGGCCAGGCCCTGGAGAAATGAGGACCAGACGTAGCTACCTCACGGGGCTCCTTCCAGAGCAGAAATGCGCTTCCTTAGGGCTAGGTGGGGTCACCGTGGAGGGGCTGGGAGCTGACCCTGCCGTGGGGCCTGAGGGACGGCACTGAATGGCACCGGTGSGGCCGAAGAGTTTGGCGTTGTTGGTAACGCAGAAGGGGGCGTGAGGAGAACTGTGAAATTGCAGGCCAGCAGCCTGGGCAGGGGCTCTGAGCAAGCCCAACCCAACCACCAAAAGATAAAACCTCCTCCTTCCTCTCCTAGCTATGACATCCTGGGCCCCATCGGAAAGGCAGGGGTGGCACTGGGGGGGTGGGGGGAGAGAAGGCCCCTGTGGGTGCCTGCCTGGAGTGGCCTAGGGTTCTGGCCCATCCTGAGGGCAGTGGGCCCAAGGACACCCTTGAGAAGCCCAAGCCGGGTGGTCACTGCCTCATGCTGGAGCTGCCTGGGGGAGGAGGCAGGACGAAGGCAAAACCTCCCAGAGAGTTTCCTTTTTGGAAACTTGGAACCAGCCCCTTTTATGACATTTTCCAGGGGAGGGGGAAGGAGCACTGGCTGAGTTTACAGCAATGACACTATTTGTGTAATGACATCAGCTCCCATAAGGCCCCTCAGCAGTGTCAACAGCTGGAGAGGGCCTGCACGGGCATGCCGGCTGCAAGGCAGTTGGGCTGGGCTTGCTTGAGTCAGGACATGGTTCACTGGCTCATCCAAAGTGCCCCGGTCCTAGGCACCAGGGCCAGGAATGGCCATGTTCCTGGGCGCCCATGACCACTTCCTGCTCTGCCCTTGCTGTTGGCTCCTAAGGCAGGAGAAGTGGCTACCCCAGATGGCTCTGGGGCTGCCCTCACGGCTGTCTTCCTCTAACCCGGGCAGCACTTCACCCACTTTTTTCTAGCCGTCCTCATTTTGAAGACCCCCTGTGCCTTCCACTGGGCCCAGCCCTCCTTCCCAAAGCCTCCTAGAGACTGTCCTCAAGCAGGCAGCCCCAGACTTTTTGGTCTGGCTGCCTCGCAGGACCTGTTCCTATGCTCTGGTGCCTCTCGGCTCCTGCCTTCCTGAGCTCTCTGCACTGCCCTGGGGCTTCTGGCCCCATCTTCACACTGGGCAGCTGACTGAGTGGCCTGGCTCCCCTCTCAGTCAGGAAATTGGTTTTATTTTCCCTGCCAGAGGTTGGCTGCTTACAGGGCCATACCAAGGATGAAGCTCGCTTCCCTTCCCTTCCTCTACTTCTGCCCGCGTCACCACTGCCATTTACTGAGCACCTGCTGCGTGCCAGGCACTTTACCTTCATGTCCCCAGCCTGTCCTCATGACAACCCTCTGGAACAGGGTCGCTTGCCCCCATTTTCACCAACAGGGAAACTGGCATGTGTGTGGCAGCACTGAGACTCAGATCCCAGAACCAGGCCTTCTGACCGTGGGCTGTGCTACCCCTGGAACTTACCCAACAATCCCCGAAGCAGGCTGTGAGGGGTGCCCAAGGCTGAGTTGCCACGGCGACCCTAGAAGCTGCCTCTTGAGGACCTTGAATCTAGCCTGCAGAGTAAGCACTGGGGGTGGGACGGGGGGGAGTACACTGACGTCTTCAGGAGTGGTGGGTGCAGCAGGAACCAAGGAGAGCCTACGGAAGTCTTTAGCGCTCCTGAGGTTCTAGAAAGGTGATTTTCCTGCTTCAAGTGCAGGATTCCAGGGGCAACTGGCAGAGGCACCTCAAGGTCAGTGAGAAGATAGATCTGCCCTGGGAAAGGGTGTTTGGCTTCCCTGAATCTTAACTCGGTGGTTGAGGGTCAAGGACTGGATCTCTCCAGGCACTAAGGTCCAGTCTGGGCGGCTGATGAGGGCAGTTGTTTATCTCACCAGCATAGCTCCACCGCATCTTACCCTGGGTCAGGGGCTTGCACTGGTGGTCCTAGGCCTCCTCAGCAACGGAACCAGGGGCCTACCAAATAACAAGGCAGCTTGCTGAAAATCCAACCACTGTCACCCTCCAGCTCAGCCACCCCCGGGCCTAGACCATCCACGCAGTGGCCTAGCCCTTGGAGACGATGTCAGGGTAGCCAGATCAGGAACAAGGACACTGTTGGGATTGCATCATTTTTCACAGGCTGCCCCCCCCCCCATTTTCCTTATGGACTCGGCCAGAACTCAGTCCATTCCTACTCTACTCTGACCTCCACAGAGGAGACCCAGCTTCAGGCCAGCATCCCTTTTCCACCTCTGTCCCCATCCCAGGGAAGAGAGGGAAATAGGAATCGAGGTGTTCCAGTTTGTATAGTTAGGAAGGGATGTAAAACGGACCTAGATGTGAAGAGTGTATTAACCAGAATTGTGATATGTAGGTGTTGGAAGAAAAACACCAGATTAGTCCTTATTTTGTTCTTAAAACAGCTTCCCCAGTTGTCCTTTTTCTTACCAGGTGGGTGGTTTGGTACGCAAGAGCTGCCTATTTTACTCACACCGTGGAAGGCCGAAGGCAATGGCGCTGTCCCTCCCTGTGGCCTCTATCCACAGCTTCTGTCCTTGGAAAGCAGACCAAGAGGCAACAACCTTAGGTTTCTTTGAGTAGGAGGGATAGACAGCTGGAGTGAAAGCCCAGGGCCTGTGCCTCAGTGGTAGCATGCAGGCCACGGGTACAGACTTTCTTGGAATTGCCCAGGTTCAATGAGACTGAAGTCAAGAAGAGACCCTTAGGGACTAGGAAATGGTTCTTTTAGGGTCCCAACACTTAAAGGATACCCCCCTCCCCACAAACTCCCAGAGCCAAGAGCATGGACAGACTCATGGATGGGCCACTGGATCACGGTTTGTGGACACACACTCCCGTGGGCCATAGCCATGCCATACCTTAGGGGTATCAAAATTGACCTTGCCCCAAATAAGCCAGCCCTACTCCTTGTGTCATTGGAAATCCTTCCCTGCTCCCAAATGCACTTCCCATTCTCCCTCCTGTGTTGGAGATTTCTGTTCACTCAGAATTGTAAATGTTTAGTTGTGACCATGACATATTGTTTGGGTCAGTGTTCCTTTCCAATGCATACTAATATATTATGGTTATTATATATGAATATATTTAATGACATGGAAAGAGTTGTGGATTTTTTTAAAGCTTTTTTTTTTTTTTTTTGGTTGTTAGAGCTGTAATGGACCCAGATGGAACTTGTAACGTGGGCCCCACATGATAGAACTAAATTCAGATATCATTAAATAAACTCTTGTATACTGGTCTGTCTCCCAGTCTTTCTTGGTGGCCTGAGTTATGGGTGGTGGGCACGTAGGGAGGTAGGAGGGGATGGAATCTTCTGACAACTTAAGGAATATGGCCCTTTTGTCCCAGAACTCCCCAGCAAGACAGCCCAGGAGCTTGCTTTTATTAAAAAAAGACAGTTTGTTTAGAAAGTTCTGGGGGCTTGCTGGCTCTGAATACAGAACTAAAAAGCCTCTCATACGCAATTGTCTGCTTATGTCCCCAAGTTACCACCCCTAGGACAGATCCTTGCTGCTTCCTGGATGGGGAGGAACCCAGGGGATGGAGGAAAGGGGGTTCCCTCTAATGTACCCATATGGCAGCAGTGGGGTGAGATGCCACCCTTGACCTTACCTGTTTGATTCAGAACCTGCAAATCTTCTGCCTTTTACGTATCCAGTTTCTTCTATTCAAAGCCAAGTAGAGACTCTAAGGGAACTAAGACAGGACTGGTGAAACCTTGCAACAGACTCCAGCCATTGCTGAAGGCTTCATGCAGAGCAGAGACTGGGAAGACGCCAGCACCATGCAGCCACCAGGAGCTGAGCTCACTGGGTTTTTGGAGAGGCTATATTTAAACTTCCACATGGTTGTGATCTCGTTATTAAATAAACAATCCAGCCATTAGGAGCATGTTGTGTTGCCACGAGAAGTGGAGCCGATCGGCACCAGGAAGCTGTAATTTCTGCACCCGGCTGTTTGGATGACAAGGCTCAGCCACCGACCTGATCTGGCCCCTCGGCAACAGGGATTCTAGTGGTCCCTCCTTCAAAGGCACAGGAAGCTGTCCTTTGCTGTGAGGCCAGCTGGCTGGAGGTGCCATCATCCGCTGCTTCTCAAGACAGATACAGGCAGGCTCCAAGGACCCGGAGCTGTGCTCTAAGCCAGGGCCGGTGGGCACATGCACTCAAGGTATCCCACTCGATCTTAGGAGCGAGTCCCTGTTGAAGACAATGCTTGACAGTGGGGTGGGGGTAGGGGAGGACAAGAGGCAGACTTCAAGTGGCTGGACAGGTCAAGGAAAAAGTAAGACTTTTTTGTCATCTCCTATGCCTCTGCGGGCCAGCTTGACCATTTGCAAGATTTAAGACTCCCCTGAGGCTAAGAGTTCTGTGATGCCCTTGGCACTTTGAGACTCAGGTTTGGTCATTTTAGGTCAAGTGTCCAGTTCTTAAGAACTTTCATGATGTGGCTTTTTTCTGTCCATAAAGTTGTCTGTGCCTCAGTGTGCTGTGTCTCTTTGGGGACTCCATCACAGCCAGGAGCTGGGCTGCCAGCTGCGGCCCCAGGCCCAAGCCTGCAGGAAGCACACTGTGGATCAGAGACACATTTGAATGGGCACCGTGGTCAGCCCTGCTGCCTCTCAGGGCCTTCAGCCCTGGCTGGGGAGACGATACAGGAAATGTGCTGGGTTGCTGTGAAGCACTGGCCCAAGACAATAGGAAAGGCCCATTTTAGAGACTGGAATGTTGAAGTAAAAGGACACTGAGAGGTCTTCACCAGCGACCAGGGCCAGGCCAAAGCCCAGAGGGCTGCCAGGAACAGATCTGCCTGGCTGCCCAAGCAGCAGTCGGGGAGGTTCACAGTTCATGAGGCCTCATTACCCTCATCCCTGCGTCTCCCAGGGACAGTGTCTGGCATGGGGATGCCCACTCGTGGCAGACACACCCCTCAGTCTCAGATTTCGTTAACAGACATCTCTTTCCGTTCTCTTTTTAAGACTAAATAAAGACATATAAGAAATGCGCCAAGAAAAACGGGGAGTGAAAAGGGAGAAAGAGCCAGTGAGAAACACAGTATATAGACGGATTAACTTGTTGCTTTATCAAACTGGAGACTCGGTGGGACAGCGAGGTATTTCTGGAAAGAGGTCAAGGCCTTTTGTTACTGGCATGGAGCTGGGAGGAAGTCTGTGAAATCGTACAATTAGAGGAAAGAGGAGTTTGGGCTCCCTTTTAAAATAACAGGGAGAAAGCCCCTTTAACCCCAGCGGGGCTAGGTTTGAAACTCCAACTAGGTAAGAGATCTTGAGTCTGTGCACAAAGCTGCCAGTGTAACTCTGAACCTGAAGGAGAAGGAAAGAGGTTCACCTCTCCACCAGGAGGGAGGCGGCAGCTCTGCAGCTGGCTGCTGGCAGTTCTCTTTGATGGGTCAGGGGAGAGCCAGGTGGACAGTTCTGGAAGCTTAGGTACAGTCAGGAATTCTGCAGCAGCCCCCATGGAAGGAAAGTTCTCAGGATCTGAGCTCAGAAGAGAGCACAGACCCAGGCAGGTTGGCTGGCTGCAGGCAGCAGAGAAAAGAAGGACAAGGGTTTTTAACATCAAGTCTCCAGAGGCTAGGTGCAGGCTGTGACTGCGACCTTGCAGAAGCATATGACTCCTTGAAAGAAGCATATGGTCCTCGACTGATGACAGCTGAGGTTTAGTGCAGTTATCAATAATCACAAAGTTTAAATGGAATGAAAGTACCAGCTGTACCCGGGGATCTGGATTTCTTTATATGGTATCTAGACTTAAAATGCTTATAATTAATAATCAGCTAAGTTAAACAATTCTTACGCTGTTATCTTAAATAAAGTTTATTTTCACTAAAAAGTTTCCGAGGTGCTGGGTGCTGTGGCCCTGGCTAGCCAATCTTCTTTATCTCCTTTATGAGGGCTTACAGCTCGACCCATCAATCTCACAGTATTTGCTTCAGGTCACCTGGGACTGTGGTCCTGACACTTTGGCAGGAGGTGGGGGCGACTATGATTTGTGAACCATGTTGGCAAATGCTACTTTTACATGAGCCACCTACTTTTACATGAGCCACATGTCCACATGTGGACACTCTAAGGTTGGTCTTAAGAAAACAGGTCCCCAAAAGTGTTGCATCCCAGTCACTTGGGTATTCCTTGCCACTTCTAGTCTGGTAAGGACAGGTGTCTCATTTGGGAAACTCACACCTTGAAGAAGACTGAAGGAGCTGGTCCCTGTGTGGCATGCACCTAGCCTCTGTATTCCCCAACATCTGAATGGTAGGTCCTAGCTCTTTAACTTCCCAGGCATCTTTTCTTCCACTCTTCTGTGGATCCAGAGAAGTGAAGTAACTATTCTAGGGTCACACAGCTAGTAACACTGGGGCTGGGCCTAGAGCCCATTCAGCCAAAAGAACAGAAGCTGCTGTGTGCAGACATCAGCTCAGTGTTTTGCTTGAAAAGGCCTTTCAGTGTGACTGAGCCAGGACTCTGTGGCTCTGGTTCAAAGTCGTCCCACGAGTTGCCGGGGCTCCGTGCTGAGCAAGTCAAGAGGAGGTGAGAAAGTCAAACAGACTGTCAATGCCTCCTCTCCTGAGCCCCAGAGTGGGGGCCGGAGGCTCTAGGAGATGTAGTTTGTACAGATTTGGGGTTTCACACAGACTAGAAGATGTGGCTCTTAGGATTCCTGGTCTTCCATTGGGTGATCCATTAGCAACYGCCCCACCCCGACAAGGAAATGCATCCTGGGGCATGTTGCCATCCACAAGCCCTTGCCCAGGGTCCAGCAGGGCCTCTCCAGGAACACACCCGTGTGAAACAAACCTGCACCTCTCTACTCCCCTTCACTGTCGGGGTCCCTGAAGATGGCTCATGCTCATGGAGGTCCCATTCCTCACCCTCTCAGCCCTGTGCCAGCTCCCATGTGGACACCTCCCAGCCACCCTGATAAGTCTTCTGGAAGGGCCTGGGCCTCCTCAAGAGGTCACTGGGCACCAGGGTCTAAACTGACAGGAGAGCTTGTTTTCCTGGCTGGCTCATTCTCACATCCTCACGCCTCTGTCCTGCTGCACTAGGTTGAAAGAGGTGGCAGGCTCCTGAGCTCTGGATTTGGTGATCATCTGGCCCACAAGGTTCAGGTGAATTAGAGGCAGAATCCCTTCCTCAGCTGAGTCAAGTGACATGCTCTGTGCTTCCACCTGTGACTCGGTGCTCAACCAGGTGGTAGGGGGAGCTTGTCTCCTTTTTCTAGATGAGAACACAGAGGCATAGAAAAGAACCTGTTGTGGTCACAGATCTGGTGAGGGGTGTGGTCATCCTGGAGCTGTTCACTGCATATTCACACTTCCTTCCCAAACCTTCCTAATCTCCAGAGGTGATGTAGGACTAAATACTAGTTCTGGCCAGTTAGTTGAGAGCAGAGGTGATGGGTTCACATCTGAACTGAACACTTCATTGCCAGAGTCCTCTTTTCCTCTGCCGGAGGGGCCTCAGTGGCTGTCCCATTGGCCTGAGTTCTGGAGCAAGGAGAGGTGGTGAGATCTAAGCAGGTGTCTGGACCCAGATTTTCCCTGCACACCTAGAGTCTTTGGTCTCAAGAACCCAGGAAATAACATCATGCCAGGCTGTACCATGTCACTCTTCCTGGTGTCTCTGTCCAGAGGGGAATTCATGTCACATCATCTTGAGAAAGTTCAGAGGAGACCCTCCAACAGTCCCCTCCTCAGTGATATCATGTGCTTTGGCAACTGCTGGGTCATTGTCCCTAATTCTTTTTCCTTCTACCACAGAGGCACAGTAAGGCCTGCTTCCCGTCCTACTTTCCACACAGGATGGAGAGAAGGCACGATACTTGGCCTTCTGTTCCCTTTTAACTTACCCATCCTGAGGGCCTGACATCCTTCGGGGGCTGGCCCCATCGTCCTGTCTTTCTGAGCAATGCACACAAGTCCAGGCTCTGGGATACCCACATACACACTGCCAGAGCCAGTGTGGGAGGCAGACAGAGGCAGCGTTGTCCTTACTTCATGAGTGCTCCGTTTTTGAACCCTACACAGGACTTTACCACCCAATTGTGCCCTATTCTTACCCTTCAAGCAAGAGATTGGATTCTGGCTGCTTAGGAAGATGGTTCAATATTGAAAAGTGAGTTCATTATCCCCAAGCAAATGAAAAAGAATGTATTTTCAGGGAAGAAGGCAGTTACCAGAATCCAGAAATATCTCTAAGCAGGAGCAGCCA